AACAACTTTTATATATATATATATATATATATATGATTGAGATAAAAAATGGATTAATGTTTATTAATATTTGAAATTTTATTTGCATTCATCACATTATTGTCAGAAAAGTTTAAAAACAAAATTGATCTCATTTTCCAATTATTTTTATTTTAAAATTTTCCACATATTTTTATAATTGTAAACAAACACGATCTTAATAGAAAGAAGTTGACTTTCCATTTTTATTTCTTTCATTTTTCACTTTCTCATATTCATTGATTTAAAACATTTGAATTCAAATTCAAATCCATATTAACATGATAAAATCCTAATCGTCCAAATGAATACGAAAACAAATATAGAGTTTTCTAAAACCTTTTTGTGTTATTTTTTTATAATGTCTTTAAAATAAAATATAATTTTCTGATGAAAAGAAATTATAATTATAAAAAAAATACTTTTTTAGCAATTTTTTTATAATTATTTATATGATAATTTATATGATAATTTTTTATTATTCTTTTTTAAATATATAAACTAATAAAATAATAAAAAATTATAAAAAAATGGTTAACATTATTCTTATCAAAAATCACAATTCTATATTAATATTAAAAAAATTTATTTTTAAATTTATTCTCATTTATTTTCAAATTTACTCAAATAAACGATAAAAAAGTTTATCTTCAAATTCTATCCAATTCACTCAAAAATAAAAAAGAAAGAAAAAATCAGATATGTCCGGAGCATAAAGCGTGTGGGTAGGAAGTGTTGTCAACTCAAAGTGAGTTTCTTTCCACTTCACTTTTTCACTGTGCTTGAAAGCGCCCTTCATTCACAAGCCGCGTCTAACCATAAACCTAACCATACCTCTGTTTTTGAACACGTTCTTCCATTTTTACCCTTCTCATTATTTTATTGCAAGAACACCAACTTCCATTTTCTCACCAATGCCCTCAATTTGTGACTTTTCTTCTCTCCATTTTTTTATTATCATGCAACAATTTTACAAACCCTAATCATTTTCGCAACAATCACTTTATAACACTAATTTAAAATAAATAACTCAATCTACTTGGTAGAAAAAGTAAAAAAATAATCGTGAGTTTAATTCTTTCTACTAATATTAATAATAAAATTTTTATAAAAAATAATAATTATTTTTTCTTATTTTAAATATATTTTTTCATCTTCAAATTATATAAATAAATTATTATTTTAAACCAAAGAATAAATTGGTTATAATCTTCACATTTCCACCTTATAATCCACATTTCTTCAAAATCATAATTACTGCGTGATCATGTTTAATTAGTAGGGGATTTATAGTGTGCACTTATAAAAAAAATGGAAGATAATGTTGTGACATAACATAAGAGGGAGTTGAAATATTGGAACTTTTCTTATTAACAACTATAAGTAAATTACATAACTAAACTTTTATATCATATCTAAATATAAAAATATTAGAATTAGATATTTTTCTTACACGTTGCTCACTTTTAAAAAAAATTGTTTTATCTTTGCATTTTTTTTCTGTTATTATATTGATTATTTCTTTGACATCTTGTATTTCAATCATTCAGTGTGAGGTTTTTTTGAAAGTAAATTCTCATAGTGTGAATGGGACATTAAATTATTAGATTTCAGCTGTTTCTTCTAGAAAAGAAATATTTTAATCCCTGTGTTTAAAACATAAGTTGTTGTTTATACAAAACTTACTTTATGCATACTTAATATCCTATTTTGTTCCAGTTTTGTTTCACAATGTCAAATTAGTTTATTTTTTAAAACGTGCGTTAATTACGTCTTTACTTAATAAAATTTATATCAATGAAATCTATTCGGTTAAATCCGTCCAAACGACGTTAATAGAAAAGAGAGAAAAATAATTAACTACAGATTTAACGGAAGAGATTTCATTGATATAAATTTTATTAAGTAAGGACGTAATTGACGTACTTTTTAAAAGAGGGATTAGTTTGACATTGTCGAGCGAAACTGGGACAAAATATGGTATTAAACCTTTTATACATATGAAAATTAATTTGAAATATAATATTCTTTTGAATAGTTTTGTGCAATTTTTTTTACTTAGGTTCTCTATTTTTTTACTTATGAAAATATGAACGCATTCTATAAAAATATTCATATAATTGAGTTTGCATTATATATATATATATATATATATATATATATATATATATATATATATATATATATATATATATATAATAATTTTTAATAAAAAACTTTCTCACTAATTAAAACTTTCAATCCATATTGTAATAGCATATAAACTTGCTGTCTTATTTTTTTTGTATGAATTTGCTTTATTTTATTTTATTTAATTCTTTTCTAATACCCTTATGTTTTTAATTAAATACTCTTTTAATGGAAATTAATTATTTGATAATATTGTAATAAATTAAAAACTTATGAAAATCATAATAAGCTTTAATTTATAATTTGATTTTTCATATTTAGATATTTATTTTTTTACTTTAAATTTATTTTTTATTTAATTAAGTTTCTCTATAATAAATATAATCGGTTTTGATGTTAAATTGATGTTAAACGTCAAATGTAAATTTGTCACATGTAAATATTTAAATCACCTTTTATTTTGAAATTCTTTTAATTTTAACATGTAATAAACACTGAAATACATATTACTTTGAAAATTCAAAGTATTATAAAAATAAAGACTTAACTAATATTTATTACAATATACAAATTTAATTAAAAAACATAAAAACTAAATTATTAATTAATTCTTATAATAACTAGTACATATAATTGTGCTCATTGTGTGTATAAGAATAAGTACGAGAATAAGACTAAGTATGAGAATTAAAAAGAAACACTAAAATATGTAAACTAAAGAATAATTATAAATATCTATGCCTAATGGTAAATAATTAAATATTACAGTAATTTACTTTTGTAATGAACAGACCATAAAACTACTTATCACATGTACAGATTAAAGAGAAAAGAGAGGGTTTCGAAACGTGGGAGAAGAAACTAGTTGGTGGAAATTTGAAACCCTCAAAGCGTTTTTAGAATTTTCTACCTAAAAAGAAAGAAAGAAATTACCCCAAAAAAACGTTTCAATTGAAGAAAGCGCGTGAGTAAACGTAAGGGTCATGCGCTGTGTCTTTTGAACGCTGTACTTATCTATACGCGCACACTTTTACACACATCTTCCACCCAAGAATCAAACAGATAGTTATATAAAGAACCTCTTTGGCTGTCCCATACCATAATTCATGTCTGTTGCTTCTTTCTTCTCATCTTCTTCTCCCCTTTAATTTTATTATAGCTACTCCACTTTGCAAACGCTACTCCAACAACAAGAAGATTAGCGTTATGGGTCTCTTCCTTTCTCGGAATCTGGCTTGCAAATTCATATACCCTTTTCTTTTCTCCAAGAGAGTTTCCAAGGATTTGTTTCCCAAACAGTTGGAGAACATGATGTCTCTGGTGTCCCCTCGTACTGGCAGGCATTTGCAGCGTTATGACCAAGGATGTCGCCAAGTTGTGGGGTGTGTTCTTGTTCCTTCCCATGCCTTTTTCTTCCTGTTTCTTCTTCTGGGGTTTCATCAAGTTCTGATTTTTAGGGTTTTCTTAGTTTCTTTCTTTCTCTCACTAAATGTTTCTCCCATAGTAATTTTACACTTTCCAGGGACTGGTTTTAATTTAAACTTGTTGAATTTGTAAAGTTATATTTGAAATGATTGTTTCAAGAATTGAAATGAAAGAAGTGGAAAGATAAGCTCATATTATAAAACAAAAACTAATTTTGAAAAAAATAACCAAACTTACCAGCATCCTAGAGTCGAAGATGGTGGACACGCTTTGAAATTTCCAATTTTTTTCTCAATTGGGGGCTTTTTGTTTTTTGTTTTGGAAGAGGGTTTAAAGCGTGTCTTTGATTTAATCATTGATGGCCGGTGGCAGAAAAAAATTCATTTTTTGTAAATAATATTTTTTTTTTTTTGGTTTGGTGGGTTTGAAGTTAAATTTGTCCTTTTCTGTGTGTATATTGAGTTGTTAAGCTGACTTGTTCTGTGGGGTGATTTTGGAAATGAACAGGTGCATTCCTTATAGATACAAGAACAATGGAACAAAAGATAAGGAGTTAGAGGTTCTTGTGATTAGTGCTCAGAAAGGCCATGGAATGCAGTTCCCAAAGGTATTGATTTTTCCTCCACATCTTGTATTGTTTAGAAGCTTAACTTTGGTTCATTTAAACCCTTTTTGGTCTTGTTACTGATGTTAGAGTGTTATTTATTTGGTCTCAGGGAGGTTGGGAAATTGATGAATCCATGGAACAAGCTGCTCTAAGAGAGACTATAGAAGAAGCTGGGGTTATTGGCAGTGTTGAGGTAAGTGTGTGTGAGCAAGTACTTTTAAGATTGAGTTTTTCTTCAGCCCTTAAATAATAGTGTCTTTGAATCTTACCTTATGTGTGGTGTTTGTTTGTTCTCTTGCAGAATAATTTGGGTAAATGGTATTACAAGAGCAAACGGCAACCTATAATGCATGAGGGATACATGTTCCCTTTGCTTGTTAAGAAGGAATTGGATAATTGGCCAGAGATGAACACAAGAAAACGCAGATGGGTAAGTGTTTAACCTATTTTTCAGTTGTCAAATTCACTTTCTCAAGAGCAATATATCTTAGTCATTTAACTTTGATTTTGCTAGTGTTCTAATGTTTAACTGATATGCATCATGCAGATGACTGTGGCTGAGGCAAAAGAAATATGTCCTTATCCTTGGATGAAAGAGGCTTTGGATGTGTTGGTCATGAGGCAAAATCAGCTGCAAAAGGATGTGGATATGAGTAGGCTGTAAATTATGTATGGAGTGTTTGGTTTAACGTTTCAGATGTGATTTTTCACGCCTAGAGAGGAAGTAGTAGGTTATAACTTTTGCATCTCCAAGGTGGTTTCTTACTTCTCAACGATTTTCCAAACACGGATGTGGCAGATAATCGCTTTTGGAATCCACTAAGTGGTAAAACAGAAGCACTCAGAAGCTGTTAGTGGCAGAGAAACTGAGACATCATAGCCATGAAGAGAGAAACCTGATTTTTAAGGTTGCAATTTCTTCCTTGAGTTTGTTTCTGTCTTCAAATTGGCTATAGTTTGAAAGTTTAGCTGAGTTTGCAGTGGGTGTAGTTGAGATCTAGCCATAGAAATCAGCTGTAGATGTACAAAATCAATTCATTCTTTGATTCATTTCATTCTTTCTAATGTAATGTATGTGTAGGTCTTGTGTAGAACACATTCTTCTTGTATCCAAAAAAATGAAAAAGAGAGTTACTTCCATCTTGTGATTGAAAACTACACTACACTTATCTTCTGTTACTATCACATATCTGAGACTTCAACAGCTTTTCTCCATTAGTTGTGTAACTGGTGAGTTTGTGTAGCTAAGTTTAAACTTTTTGTATTCTACTGTAAAATGTAAGAACAAAGTAAACTTATGATGACAGGAACATCACAGGCTCAACTCTGATATGATTCTCAGTGCATCAAACACCTCATTTGGTAATTTTTAATGTTTTTTCAATGATTCAACTTGAATGAAAGTGTTTTATGGAGTAGGGGCATAGCATGATCTGATATGAGGTCTCAGAAACTGAAGCAATTTTCATAAGCATAAACTGAATTAAATTACACAAAATGAGTTCTGCTATTTTTTACGATGAACCAAACACAGCAGACTTTGGAGCCAATTATTATGTTGAATAGCATCAAACTATGGAATCTTTGCGGCAAAACCTTTTTATGGTTATGTTAGGTAAACATAGAGTGGTTGAGTTGAGAAGTGAGAACACAAAGACAATGATTGAGTAGAGAATATACCTAAATTTGTTTTTGATAATCTCTTCCTAATAAAATGATAAGTATAAATAAAGTGAAATACTTTCTCCTAATCATATTTAATTAAAACTTCTCATCCAAAAAAATTGAATCATAATAGGGTGCATACTTGGCTAAGCACAATCAATTACAAAGTTTCTTTATAGCCCCTTTCTATGACAATGTCATTGTTAGCAATTTCTTAACAAGGAAACATATTTAAGACAAACAGAGTCCTAATCAGTTAATTTATTAAAGCGTTTTTATAACTACCACAATTACCACTTTCTGCTGTAAAACATTGAAACTATCCTAAGAAGCTTCTTGTCATTTGTTTGAAAGTCTGAAGTGAGAGAAAGTTATGTTTTTTAATGAAAAACAAAATCACGAATTAAAAAATCATTAGACAAAAGGTAAGACTTTTAACTTAGGCCGGCCAGCTCGGATTATCACAAGTTAATTTAAATTGGAAAACTTTATTTTTACAAATTATTTAAGTTCATGATTAATAACATGAAATGAAACACTTATATATATATATAAGGGTACTCTTTTGTATGAGTGATGAAAACATGAAACATAAGAAAGGACAAAGCATGCTACTAGGTCAAGCAATGAGATGATAAGGTAACATTATTACATGATTCTTATTGGCCAACCTAAAAGGTAGATGGAGATGGGTATTGATTTATTTATCTCTCACTCTATGGATGGCCATGGGTTTGAAGCCATTGATGTTGCCATCACCATTTCATATTATCAATCATGCTTGCAAAGTACCTTTCCAAAATGATGTGGAAAACATCAACTCTGTTACAGTTCCTATGTATAGTGATAGACCTTATATGGGTGGGGCTAGTCTCCATATTCTAACTCTGTCCATAGATTTATTATTTTTTAAGTTTTTTTAAGGTCAATTTGTTATTGGTGATTAAAGATAGTGTAATTGTTTTAGAATACAGATTCAGTATATATATATTTATATTTTTTTAATTACGTAACTTACAAATAATTACCTTGTGATCAAGAAAATGAAGTTTATCAGTTTTATACAAAAATTATATATCAAAATTATACTTAATTTAAATATATAATTCTCTTTTTAAAAATTACTGATCAAGATTTGACATTTATTTATATTTATTTATATTTATTTATACAAGAAAGTGTATTGTATGAGTTATAAACTCGAAGGTCAATTATTAGTAACGAGATTGAATAAATTATTTTCATAATCGAATGATCATTCGCATATCAGGATAATTAATTAATGTTGAACTATATAAGGTAAAATATGATTATCAACAATTAGATCATAGTTAGGTAGTTGTTAATCAAAAGTTTATTCTGAAATCTATAAATATAAGTTTGGGGTAAGGAGGTAGATAATTGTATTTACTACACATTGATATCTGAATTATCAAACGTTAAACTAAATTTGATATCAAAGTATTTTTTGTCGGTATTTTCCAAAGACTTTGGCCTACCAGAGATTTGGAGTAGAAGACAGTTTATAGATCTCTTAGACTACTTTTTAGACGTTGGACATTGATTTCGACCTTACACTTCAAAATAAAGAGATGTTTTTATATGTAAGAGACAAGTCTCTTGGGTAAAACCTTTCAAGGAAAAAATATCACATACTTGTTTTGTTTTGAGACGATGAGTGAGGTGCCTATCAATGGATGTTGATGAGGAATATGAATGAATTTTTGGAAAGTAAAGGGAACGATAGGGTTAACTATTGTGTTGGATGAATGATTGTGTGTGAGAATGTTATGCAAGGAAAAATGGAAGTTATCTTTCCATTTGGAAAGTGATCCTAAATTTGTAAACAATATTAGGGTTATATCAATTTTTCCTCGAGCGAGAAAAAATTAAGTTTAAATTTTCATTTGAATTTATTAAGAACTAAAAGCACAATTTTATAATTGTTCCACAAAATTAAGTATAGAACTCCTTTTTATCATTTTACTTTGTTGTTATTCCTGTCTAATATATTCATGTTTTCATTCTTACGATTTTTTCCTCATCAACCTTACATATGACACCCTTATCAATATAGAACTAGGTTTTTCAATCAAGATTATTCATTAAAAAGGTAGCAAATATACTTCCTACTAACATTTATAAAAAATGTATTTTTTAATTGATCGAAACTGTAAAATATCAATCATAATAAAAAATATATTTTATTTTATTTTAGAAAATAAAAATATTTAATTATCTATTTTACTAATATCTGCGACTGAAGACTCATTAGAAACCAGTAAAAGAAAAAAACAGCACACACATTTGGTAATAGCTGAATTTGGATTTTCTGTTGGACTTTTTTTTTGTTATTCTTTTGTGGTGCCTTTAAACTATGTTTATATATATTATATATGGGGTTTGCTAACGCGTGTACGTCGGTTTTTCAGTTGGTACATTTTAGCAATGTGTATCGGGTGTTAGTAGATAAAAATACTCTTATATATTATGGATTCTAAGTTTTAACGTTAATGGTATTTTAAGTTTTAAAACACCAGCTGCGTGTATGATTTTGAAGAAAGAAATTCAATAGAGAATTTGAACTTTTAATAGCTTTTCCAAATAGAAAGTAATAAATCCGTCAGTGATTGTTGAATTTTCAGGCAAATAACTTTTTCCTCCAAAATAAAATTTTAATAGTGAATAAAACTAAAGAAAATTAAGACCAATAAATAAAATTATCTCACTTTCTATTAATTTTTAATATCTTTCACATAATTCATCTTTTGCTTTTTTTCTTTCCTTGTTTTTACTATTGTTACAATTTTAATATATGATTTTTGCTGATTCTTTTTTGCTGTTTTAAACTTTCTGCCCTAGTTGATTGAGTACTTAGTTTTACCTGGTAGCTTTTATTTTTATTTTTTAGTGCTATTTTCATTTCAGATTTAGATTTAATTTGCTGACTTTATTTTGACTAACATGTTTACTAACAATTTTCTTTACTAACCTTCTAACCAATTTCTGATTTTGATTTAGTTGTTAACCTTGTTTCTGTTTTGCAGGTATAGCTACTAGCTCTTATTTTCTCCTGTCAGTTGCAGCTGGTTTAATTCAACCCTTACTTTTTGATAATTTGGTTCTTTTAACATGTTTGCTTTACTGATTTTAGTTCGTAGATTTTGTTCTTTTACTTTACTGATTCTAGTTTGCTGTTTACATTCCGGTACTTGATTTTACTACTGTTTTAATGTTTCAATGCTTTCTAATCAATTGAATCCTGTTCTCAAGTTTATTTCCAGTTTTTACAGTTTAGTTAGTTAATTCTATTAGTTTGGGTTTCATGCTTGGTTAGAATTAGGAATTTCAATTCTGCATTTTATATTGTTAAGATTCTTCATTCCAGTAGTTAATTAGGATGAATTTACATATGGTTGCATGTGAATTTTACCATTCAACTCAGTTCTACATAAAAAATCAGATTATGCATTTGCTGTCATGAGTGTTGTCACCCTAATACAATGGTTTTGCTGCCATATTTGGTTTTCAACTGTGATTTTGTGAATTTTACATTGTTAGAGAGTTATTCGTGCATAGCATTAGTAGATTTAGGTATATGAATATGTTCCAAGAATTTCCATTGCATAATTCGTAGTTTTCTTTCTCTTAGGGATTTTGTCAAACACATTATGGAAATTTGGTTTTCTGTGACATTTTATCAGACAGTTTTATAATTCACCGTTCTGCATTGTTTTATAATTCACAGTTTTATAATATTGAATATTTGAAGTGATCGAAATCTTCACGTACAGAGCGGGTGTTGGCAGCCATTGGAAGATGTGGTTGGAAGGTAACATTCTGATACCAATTGATATGGTTCTTCTAGGAAGACGGTTGTCTCGAACAAGAACCCCGTAGGAAATCCAAGTAAGAAGAACGGAATCCGAACAAGAGAGTATAGGTGATAACTCTCCAAATTTACATCCTTTTCTATGTCTAGAAATCTTTCTTAGTTCATTTTAGTTTCTTATCGTTTAGAATTAGGTTGATTTTAGGTTTTTCTTTTAAATATTTAGAATTGTAAAATTTTAGTTAAAAATATGTTTTTAGATGTAATTTCTAGTTTTTGTTAATAATTAGAAAATTAATTTTTGAAAATCTTTTGATAAAAATTCTCTTTTTGTTTGTTAGATTTCCTTTACTTTCGTTAAATTTTTGGACTGATTTTTTTTTAGCAGATTGGGCTTATTGAAGTGTTGGGCTGATTATTTTTGGTTAGATATTGGACTGGTTTCACCTACTCAAAACGTTGGGGTGTTACTCCCTCCACCACCACAACTTCCTTCTTCCACCACCCCATTCTCCTTTTACCCTTTTCTTTATTTTTTAATTTTTATTTTACCCTTATTAAAATTTTAGGGTTAATATTATTTAAAATCTCACGTACATTCATTCTCTTTATCATTCTTCCCTCTTTCTCTTTATTATTTTTCCCAGGTTGTCTCTTA